TTAATGTACCTCCACTACGTTTTGCAGTGTGGACCAACGTAGTGGGGGTACATTTTCCCATGAGACTTGGTTGGTTTTGACAGTAAAAGTTGTGTAAGTCTAAGTCTAATTCACTTTATCTATATAGCGATTTGTTCAAAGTTTTCTATCTAAGGAAAACCAGCTGATTGCATCGACTCATCGACTTCGTAAACAAACAAACAAAAAAATGCAGAAAATACAACAGTACGACATTTTAAATAAATCAATGTTTAATATTTAAATTAGTCTGGCTTTGGTCAGAGCTACAGGAGACAACAAGACAGGAGTCTGCTGAGGAAGAAAGGCAAAGAGATAAAGCTCTTTAGAGATGAAAAGCTTCATTCTGTTTATCAATAGCTCCACATTTATTCACAGATTGTGATTTTTAAGCTCCTGGTGTATAACCTAAAAACAAATTTGGTGTCTTATATAAATACATTGGTGTTTACTTCCTTAAAGAAGTCAGAATTTAATTTTAATTTGCAAAAATTAAAACCAAAATGATAAAAATTTGAACTATCTGTTTCTATTTGAAGTTCATGCTGTTTATATTGTAGATATTATACATCAGCATTACTCAGTGACATTTTTACATCCAAATATTTGTAAATAACACAGAGGTGCAACTCTAAAATAAGTGGGTGTGGATTCAGAGTTGACTTGGAGATGATTTGGAGTACAGTTTTAGGTATGAGCTCTGCCCATCTTCCAATCTTTCAAGCCGGCGTACGTGAAGGAGGAAGTTTGGCTTCGAACGAGCCCATGGTGTTGAGGGTCGCATGGATGCGGAAGTGCAGCCTGGACTCCATGCTGTAGTCCCTGTAGTTGTTCCTGCAAACAGAATCACCTGGGGGTTAATCGTTTGTGTAACCTGGGAGTATCTGGGTAGACTGGCTAGCACCAGCAAATGGCTGAGTTTATGTCATTTAGTTGCAGCTTGTTTACAAGTCTGAGATGTGATTTCCTTAGATTTTTGGTTAGTTTATTTGAAAGAAACCTTAAAAACACTTACTTTGCATTTTCAATGACTGTGATGGCCTTATTAATGTCACCTTTCAGCTTGTGCAGCAAACCCAGCTCATACATGGTAAATGGTACCAGATAGGTTTCGTGCTTTATTTCCTTCTCACTGCATGACAGACAAAGAAACAACAGAGGGTCTAAGTCATTAACAGTAGACGATATAATAGGCACACATTTCAATCAGCATTGAACCAGTGGGAGTGCCGTGAAGTCCTTTCCTGGATCATCTCTGATAGCTGAACCTCATAAGCAAAGGACACATCTATGATCAAAAATGCATCTTTGGGGTTTCAGCTTCCAATTAGTGTTAAACAGGCACACTCATTCTGGTTTAAACGGCTAAACACCAAACCCAAACAAATCAACAGATTTAACAACCAAAAAGAATGATAGTTGGGTTTTTAATTTGTATCTGACTTTGAATGTGCTTATGAGGATGGACCTCATGCACCTTTAAATACAGACATTTTTTTTTGTGCAACTGAAGGAATTGAGAAAGACTTCTAATGGGTGCCGAAATGTCTTCAGAAAAACAAAGTAAAAGTCGGCCTGCCTGGTTTTTCGGATTGTTGTTGTCATGAACAAGATGAGTTAGAACAGGCATTTCCAATAGAAATAGGAATGGCTGTTGTAACTGAGTCCTTTAAGTACTAGAAATAAGAGCTTTCAAAAATAGTTAAGTAATTGAAAATCTGGAATTTTTTAACAATGCATTTATAGTTGAGAAACCTGGGAAGAATCTCTGCAAGATTTTAGAGATCAGTAACTCTGAATATATAACAATGATGCATTTGTCTTATGTAGTTATTTTTTTAGATGCTAAATGATGATTTACATCTCAGGCTTTCATTTGTCGCACCGCTGGTGGGTTGGTGGCATGGTGGAGGATAAGAAGCACTTGTACTTCCTGAGGAAGATGAGGAGCCCCCCACCCATCCTCACCACCACAAGCACCATAGAAAGCGTTCTGACCAGCTGTCCCACTGTGTGGTGTTGAGGCTGCAGCGCCTCAGACTGGAAGAAGGTGAGAAGAGTTGTTCCCTCCATTAAAGACATTTCATTCCAGTGCTGCGTGTCCTGAGCCCGTAACATCATCAATGAGCCCTCACACCCCCACCATGGACTGTTCTCCCTGCTGCCCTCTGGGAAGAGGCTTCGCAGCATTCATTGCAGGTCCAGTAGATTCCAGAACAACTTCTTCCCCACTGCCATTAGACTGCTGGATGCTGTATAAAATGTTGTTTAAAAAAAAAGCGCTGAATGTTAGACACTTTAAATCATATAGCAGTCTTATGTTTACATTTTATCACTGCTCTTATATTTTATCACTACTGCACTATAAAAATGGAAATGTCTTGAGATTTGTACTGAACGAATTTTCATTTTGTATACACTATGTGTACAAAAGGACAATAAAGTCTGTCTAAGTCTATAGTCTAAGTCTAAGTCATTCTGCACCTATGGAGCCTAAAGCGGAGCAAATCACAGTCACACTAGAGGTCTTTTTTCAATGGATCTACTTAGGCTGGCCTCACTCCATTCAGCCAGCCTAAGAAGCACTTTTATTACAATTTTATTCCTTACCAGGCTGGCTGGTTTGAAGAGGCCCAGAGGGTGGTAGGAAGTGAGCTGAGTAAGGCTAAAATGTGACCTGATCATTATTTTATAAGCAGGACCAGGATTAATTAGCTTTCGGTTGAGAAAGTGCAGCAGAAAGTTAAACCAAAGAGGGATTAAACTAATATTAAGGTGCACCATAAACAGAACATGTCAAGCAGTAATATATTTCTGCTGTTGACAGACTAATAACCCTGCTTGAAGGAATAAAGAACTAGAAAAAGACACATTAGCTCTCAGCTTTGTTTTAGTAGGATGTATTTATTGACTATAGGCCTGATACTAGGACAGTTTCAGCATCTTAAAATAGATGCAAACACGTTTGTACGCTAGAGCAGATCTTCAAAGAAGGCTCAAAGTGATAGAAGTTTGCAGTTCAGCAGACAGCATTTGGAAACCATTTTTCCCCATGTGACACTTCATTGATATGGATCCATTGATAAGGAGGTATTGGGACAATGCTAGAGTGTGAGGAGATATTTTGGGCGTATGTAAACATATATGGAGTGTCAGAATTTTTATAACAGTGAAAGAATACCAAATGGACTGCAAAAGAGGTGTGTGTGTGTGGTGGGGGTATCTTTCGGTTAAATAAATCATAACCTTCATGCATGGGTTCCTTGTTTTGGAGTATGTGGTGTGAAGCAGTTGTTAAGAGGGACTGGTGGATATAAATCCAGATGTTTGGAGCATAATCTGCTAGCAGACAAAGCTAGCAGACAAAAACAACTTTCGCATTTATGATTGTATTTTATATATTCATATTAGACCTTAATTATTGTCAGTTTATATTTTTTACTCTTGCCCGTAGCTATAGGTAGCCTACAGGATAGGCCACCTATTTCAGGTGCACAATAAATATTATTTACTATTTTTTTTTTTCTGGTGAAGATTCTCATTCATCCAGGTCATAGTTATTCCAAAAAATGTAAAAACCTATCCACTGGACTTTGTTTCCAAGTTTGAGGATGTTTCGCTTTCTATCCAGGAAGCTTTTTCAATTCAAAATGTCAGGTAAAACGTTAAACTCAACCCAGCCTCTCTACAGGTAAGAGGCGGGTTACACCCTGGACAGGTCGCCAGTCCATCACAGAGACACACAGAACACACACTCACACCTAAGGAGAATTTAGAGAAGCCAATTAACCTAACAGGGAATCAAACCCAGGACCTTATTGCTGCAAGGCAGCAGTGCTAAGCACTGCCCCACTGAGCAGCACCTGTGAAAATGCAATGAATAAAAAAGAAAGATTAAAAAAAGGCTTATTATTTTACTGTATTTCTTATTTATTCATTGTTAAACACAGTAAATACAATAAAATAATCAGCTAAACACATAAAAACCCTTGAGCTTAAGTTATACTTTAATGGAATCAGTTGTGTATTAAAGTAGATGAATAAAGTTTTTGATGAGAACTTTTAATGCATCCAGAGTTTTAGTTACAGTAGCAACCATTCAAAGAGGCCCTTCCCAATCAAACTCCAACCGAATAGCAGCATACTTCCAGCCACTGCAGTGACCCCCTCCTTCTCCTGGGCGTGCATATTTTTTCCCTCTAAATCCACCCTTTCACTGCATTACAGGGTCTGAACAGGAGATGAAGCTTCTCTTCAGATCTCAATGTCCACAAATCATGACAGAAAGAATATTTTAGAACAAAGATTGATATTTAATAAAGGAATCTTAGGGGACTACCCAAGGGCCCATCAAGGAAAGTGGGGAGATTTTGAATGGCTACTAGTGTAGTTAGTAAAGATGTGAACTCACCTGGAGATGACGAAATTGAAGCAGATCTCAGCCTGAACCAGGCGTCCCAGCTGCGTTAAACACAGCCCCTTCAGCAGCTGCACCACACACAGGTCATCCATGTGGTAATCTGTCGGCGCTGAATCGTTCCTGAGATTCTCTTCTGCTTTCTCCAGTGTCGACAAGATGTTCTCGGTCAGCTCTGGCCTTTTCCCGACTACTGTGAAGCCGTTCCACACATACATCATTTCCTGCCAGACAAAATTTTTGGTTTGTTGCAGTAAATGAAACAGAAAAAAATAACAGTTCATTAACAGATTGTGATCATGTGATCATGTTCTGACCAAAGCAGGGACCACAAGCTTCAGAGGGGTCGGGGAGGAGTATCTCTGGGCCTTCTTTGCGGCGAACTTCTCGGTGGGAATCGATTTTCCTGCGATTCTTAATCTGAGCCCTTCCACCTGCCTACAGACCAGACCTGATTTAGTTCACTTCCAGACATACAGCAATTAAATTGTGGATTTCTTTGCAAACCTGAACAGTTCCACTACATTTTCTCCCAGCTTGTCCACTTCTTCCTCTGGAAGCATGCTTAAGATAGCTGCTTTCTGAAACACATATGTGGCCTAAAAGATACAGAAACCAACAGCTAATTAGATGAACTCAAGAAAATCTGACATACTGCTAAGAAAAAGATCTAAGAAGTCCCAGCGGCTACCTTGGACCACTTGTTCTCCTTGCAGAGCAGGTCGGCGTATCGATACGCCTCGACCCAGTTTTGTTCAAAAGAGTATGCCCACATCAGCTCCCAGTAGCACAGGTGGTGAATCTGACGCCACTCTTCCTGCGTTGCTATGCATGCCAGGAACTTCTCCTGAGCCTGCAGAAAAAGAGCAGGTATGCATTTACAGTACAAACCCACACGTGGAAGAAGGTGCAGACACTAAACACTCACGAATGTGAAGTTCCCTTTAAGCACGGCGATTCTGGCGGTGTAGAAGAGCATCAGGGCTCCCTGTGGAAAAACAATGCCTTAGATTAAATCCAGATTGTTTAAAATAAATTCAGTCATTGAATGAATGTAGGTTTCCATGTCTGTTAATACAATCCTGGTAAATACTAATAAAGGGTTCTGCTAATAAAAATGCAATTATTAACTCATCTAGAAGCAGATGTTTGGGCAATATCCGGATGTGTATATATATATATATATATATATATATATATATATATATATATATATAGTACCATGGCTTGTTTTGAAAGATTGAAGAAATCCTCTTCTTTCTATCACAGAATAGGGCAGCATCACCTAAGTTTGCTAAATTACTTATGATTCACCACAACATTCTTAGAAAAGTGTCCGTCACACAAATCAGTTTTTTTCATCAGGGCATTAGGGAAAGCATGAAACAAAAAAAAAGAGAGTGATAGTTACAATTGAAATATAAGTTAGCCACTTTTTGGCTCTGCGGTGAATTGAAATATCAGTCCCACTCAGTTTAAATAAAATCTGATGTTGATCCCACTGAGAACTCATTTTTCCTGCATTCAAAATAGTAATTTTACCTAAAATAAAAAATCCCTTATCATGCAAAAGAATAAGAACCTGAAATAATTATCTTCTAAATAAATATCTACTTTAATTCAAAGGTTATATTGTTGCATGACCACATGATGTTTCTCACATTTATTTGTGAATTCAACCTCATTGGTTGAGATACTAATAATGAATGTGGCCAGAAATGTGACATATCCAGCAAAGTTGATGCAAAAAAAGGGTTTTACTCAATACTGAGCCAGATAGTAATGCAAAATGTCTGAAGCTTCTAATATTGAAAAAATTAAGAAATTGTGATGTATTTGATTATAAAAACGAGGCAGCACTTTAGAAGTCCTGAAATATAAACATCTCTGTAGTCAATGAATACAGTTGGGCCAAAGGGAAATATTGGCTTTTACAAAAGTCTTTTGAGTTAAAGATAAAATAAGGCTATTATTTTCAATATTAGACTTAGACTTAGAGTCAACTTCTTTTATCCATTTGGATTACTCCTTCATGGAAATCCTGGTTCCAGTAGCTTATATAGAGTACAAAGATTTAAAGCAAAAACCCATTAAAGATAAAAAAAAAACGATGACAGATAATATAGAGTGTATATCGTACCAAAAAAAAAGGGGAAAAAAAGAAAAAAGTTGTAATGTCCACGAATATGTTTCCTTTAGATACTAAATATGTGCACAGCAGAGAGCTAAGGAAAGACTACACAGTAGTTGACTTGGATTATTGCATTTGTACTGCAGAGATCTACTGACCATATAAATAAGTAAAAAAAATGGCACAGGCTACACAATAGTTGACATGTGTTATTGCACGGTGAGAGAAAAGAATATTGCACATGAGTGACGATAGGTAAGGTTTTGCATAAGGTGTCCAAGGAGGGGGGTGCTGACCCTCGTCCCTCTTCCTATCACCTCCTCCTTCCCCCAGTGAGGAGTTCAGCAGTCTATTGGTCCTGCATTTAGGGAGGAGCAATCTCCCAATGATCAGGCTCCCCTGAGTATTGAAGACAGTGTGCAGAGGGTGGCTGGCATCTTACGTCAATGTACATTCAATTTGGGAATATTATGTATTTTGTCTTATTTTATGTGAAAAATCATCAGTTAATACATAGAATTAAAACTTAAGCAAAACAGCTGAACTTAGCCAGGACATATTGGAGTCCGTTTTTTTTTTTATTTGTTTCAAAATAAAATTTATCTGATAACAATGATGATCCTATCCTTTGACTGAAGCTATCATTTTGATTTTTAAATCATAAATGCAACAGAAGATAAAATTAAATTGGTTCAATCTGTTACTGTTTCTCTTCCAGGACAAATCACCATGATTTGGTGTTCCGTTCAGGGGCCATAAAAGGGGCCAGAACCAGTCCTACAGGAAAACTGGCCCCTGTTGGCCCCAGCATAGAACCGCCAATCTGGGACGCTACTGAAATGTACCCGGTAGAACCACTCTGATAAAATAGAAACTCCACATCCAGTGGTCATGGTTCTGCAAAGTGTTGAATCATGGAGTGAACTTAGTTTATCTACAATTAAATTAATAGAAGTGGAAACATTATTTTCCCCATGACTTTACAGTTTCTTACATTTGGAAACTTCTCAGCATACGGTTTAAGCAGAGCCTCAGCCTCAGGAAGGTTTCCTTCACCAGTACCTGGGGAAAAACAAAGATTAACTTCACAATCTCCAGCAAAAAAAAATCAACTTCACATAGAGAAACATTTTCTCACCAAGAATCACACTCATATAGAGGTGAAACATGAGCAGAGTCAAGGTGCTGAGGATGGAACGCAGGCTGTTGCTTGCCGCCCCTTCTCTCAGCTGCGCCAAACCCAGCTCCTGCAACATATTCAAACATGCTAACCCTGGCACTAGGTCATGGCAAAGCAAAGGTTCTGAACTGCACAGAGTTGCATGCCCTACCCTGTCTCCAGAGAAGCCCAGAAACTCCATGAGTCTGAGGACTCTGGATGGTAGCATGGACAGTATCTGAAAATACACATAAAACTGGGTGGTTACTGGATTATCTGGAGAAGCTGGGTCAGGATTATGTTTTCAATTCTTTTTTATTACCCGAATGTGTCATAAAGCAAGCAATACCGTCAGTTTCATGTCTAGTATGTATATGAGGTGGGAGAATTTTCTGCAGTACAGAAAAAGGGTTTGCATAGCTTTGCTTGAGTTTAACAGAGCTTTAACAAGAAAACTTAAGAAAAATTTGGGCCCACTTTTAATTGCATCTCGCCATTTTAGTTACTATCACAAAGAAAAAAATAAATAAACAAATGAGTCAAATATGACATAAAAACCACATAGATGGGCGTGGCCTGTCTACAGCGGTATGGACTGTGGGATGACCAGTGTCCTCTCTGGCTAACCTTCAAACATCTTGGCCTACTGCGATAACATTAATAATATAGGTAATTAATAAATTATTATTCATCCATCCATTTTCCATCACGCTTATCCCTGCTGGGGTCGCAAAGGAAGCTGGTGCCTTTCTCCAGCTGTCTAAGGGCAACAGGCATTATTATTCATAATATTATTATTTATTATTGTCATTATTATTATTATTTGTTTTAATTACCACAGAGTCATAATATTTTAATTTTGAACAAAGTCCTTTTTTATTTGCTGATCCCTCTACATTTTTATTTGCCCATTTTGTTCTTCTTCTATAGACATTGCCCTTTAGCTTTACTTACCAATTTATTACATATATTATCTTTAATATACATATAACCTTCTTGTTTTTTTTTATTTTGGGTCATTAAAATGATTGCTGTTATATTTGCTTCTATATCTTATTGTTTTGCTTTTATCTGCATCTACATTTATTTCAGTATTAACTACAGTACATACTCACCTTTTGTTATATTAGCCCTCCTCCTTTCCCCCCTTCTTTATCTTAATGTAACATTACATCCCTTTCTCTTTTTTAAATGCACATATGGTCACAATTTGCCAGAGTCCAGCTTCTGGAGCAAATTAGATGAGCTCATCCCAGAACCTGAAATGGACCAGAGAATCATATATTGGCATGGTTACACCTGAAAGGTGTCTGAAAAGTATCTGCACTCAGTTTCACGTTAAAAGCTCCTGGAGGAATGTTTAAATCAAAATGAGATGTTTGAGTGGTGGTGGCATGGGTGCTGGAGCAGTGGTCCACATTGCTGGTATTGATGTTGCTCAGGAGCTGCAGTGAGATTTTAAACTGGTCTAAATCCTTTGTTGAAGCCTGTCTATTGCAGCGATTAAATTATTTATGCAGGAAGGTTAGGTATGTAGGAAGGCGACGCTGGTGCATTGCTAAACATATGCAGGAGTACGACTGGAATACAAACCTTTACTGAGAGCAGGAACTGATTAAAAAGTGCACGTTTTGATGCTTCTGCTCTACTTGTTACTTTTATATAATGTTTCTTGCATTTGAGGCTTTGTAATTGTTTGGAGTTTTCTTGGGGGTTTTTTCTGATGCAAATCTACCGTATTTCTCAGCTGCATCAGGCTGATGCCAACGCGAAAACAGCACACACTAAAAATAGTGGCAGAGTGGCTTTTTGTGACGAGATAAGAACATATCTGTGGGAGTCAGATTTTTTAGAAAGTGGTTAGAGCAACTCCTCGCTGACTCAGCTGATCAGCAACAAGATAGATCAGCCCTGCATGCATTCAGTTACCAGCTCACAGCTAGCCTATTAATAAGAACATTACTTGACTGCAGAAATGGTTAAAAAAAAATGTTTTAAAGTCCACTATTTTCTGTGTTTGTGCGACTGGATAAGGATAAACTTAGCTGGTCCTGCACTGTCTGGCAGCTTCACTCCATCTGATTTGTTATATTTGTTTTCTTTCTGTCTTTAACTGTCAGTTAAACTTCATTTGGAACTGGTGATTATTGTGAGACCAAAAATACATCTTTTATTTATTTATTTATATATATATATATATATATATATATATATATATATATATTTTTTTTTTTGCATTGTCTACCATGTCTTGACTGACTCGAAGTCTTTACCAGGACATTTTTCTTTCTTAACATTGTCCTGTGAATTATTCAGAAATTAAAACCCATAAGTCATTACATAGCAAACAGCTTTGCTCATTTTCAGAAGTGTTGCACCGATACTGATAGCAGTATTTTGCGAACGCCCTATCCAGCACTAAAATTATGGTGTCTGTATCGGCGAGTATACAGTATACAATATCCAAGTAGTATGCAGTTCTTCATATATACACACACACACACACACACACACATCAATTTCAAACAGACGGTATCTTCAAGAAACTTACCTCTCCCTCCCTGCCTCTGCATTTGGGTCCTCAAACCACAAACAAATCCTGACAACTGGCAAGTTAAGAAAAGCTGCAAACTTCGTCCTGATGGCAGAAGGACTCCGGGTGTCCTCTGGGTTATTATCCCATTTCAGTTTTTTCTAAGAGTCTGTCTATACCGTAGCATGATCCATACCATCAGCTGATTTGCGCATTCTCAACCAGGTATACATCTGGATCACCCCCGATTGTACTGTATTGTTTCAAGTTTTGTGTTCACCTTTCTTATCTAATCAATCGGTCACACAAGCAATTTATCTAAGAGAATGCTAAATGTCTCTAATTCTCTCAGAAAAGTCTTACATTTTTTTTTAAAGATGTAGATTAGCATTCCTTTGTGATTTAAGGCTAGAAATAAAACCTTCAGTCTTGCAAATACATTATTTATGGTGAGCTGGATGAATATCTGCTTGCACATGTAATTAAGCTGATGGTACAGATCGGGCAGTGACAGGATCAGGTAGGTAGGTAGGAGTTAATCTGTTTGATGTATATGTGTTAATGATCATTGCACCCTACTGGTCTTCAGCACCTTTGACATAACTGAGACTATTTCTGGCTACTTACTGCATTTGTTTCCTTTGCATGTCTTTTGTGTTTTTCTCTGTGTTTTGCTGCTGTCTATTTGCTGTGATTGCAGTATTTCTCCTTTACAGCATTTTCCTTCTGCATGTTTTTTGTGCATTGTCTTATTTTTGTGTTTATAGCACTTCTTCTATTTGCTGCACATTTATGTATTTGCAGCACCTCTCTTGGACACTCTAAATAAGCAAAGTTCTATGTTGAGTATTGAATCAACAGTTTAGCTTTTTTGCTTCTTACCAGGTTGAATGATCCAATGCCCATGTTTACACCGCCTCGAAAATGAATGTGTGTGCTCTTCTCTTTTTCTGCCGCTTCCATAGCATTTTCCATGTCCTGACAATTCCTGGTTAGGAGACATGTGGTATTCATGTATTAAAAAAAGAAAAGAAAAACTTAAAAAGTTTTTTTCTATGATTTTAGTTACTTGTAAATCAGATAACTGTTCCTCATTCCCATCCCTCCTTTGATGAAACTGATTATGCTTTCATCCAGGAAAGTGAGCCCCGCCTTCTGCATCAGGACCTCAGCGTAGCATAGCTCAGCGTGCATCTCCTCTGTCAATAAGAGATCCAAAAAATTATATATATGTATACCAAAAGAAATACCACAAAAGGGTTATGTTAATTAACCCCTCCACTCACCCTCTGTCAAATTGTCCTCAGGTTGTCCATGCCAAAAATTGGCCAAGCTCTCCATTATTCCAGTTTTCCTCCGAAATCTACGTCAGGAAACAAAATGTCTTTTAAAGCATCAAAAATATATTTCATAGTAAACATTTTCTAAAATCAACTTTTAAAATTTTTATAACTACAAAAGGGTTAACTTAAGGTTTTTATTCTACGATAAACATTTTCTTATTAGATAAACATGTCATTCAACTCTTAGATATTTATCGCTCTTTTAAACTAACGTTTTAGGTATTAGGCAACTTTATCCATTTATTAACCAATCTTTGTTTTTTACTTGCTTGTGGATTAAGTGTGAAAAAATGTAATATTGTGTCCTGAATCCATACTGAACTCCTCACACAGCTGTAAACCCTGCATCGGGTGCTAAAAACCAGATTTTAATGTGACAAGGCACAAGAAGGTGTCTTTTACAGGGTTCATGGGACACACTGAGAAATTTCCACCACTTGAAAGTCATTAAATTACACATGGTATGTCACAATTATGAGAAATAAAGTCTTAAATATTTAAAGATTCCAGGAATTTTATAATGTCAAAATAGTTCACATTTGGCTGTTTGTGGTATAACATTTTGACTCAGATCCCAGTTTAATAAGCTTAATATTAAAGAAAATAAATATAAATAAACAAAGCTGAATTAAGTACAGCTTAAGTGCAGCAGTCTAACATCTGCAGGGTAGAAACTGTTTCTGGGCCTGGTGGTCTTACTCCGGATGTTCCTCAGCTGCCAGCCTGAGTGGACAGGCTGGACCAGTCTGAGTGCAGGATGGGTTGAGTCCTGGCGCGCCGTCCCCTTGCTTCTTGATGTGTAGGGGTCAGAGGTGGAGGCAATGCTCCCTCTAAGCTGCGCAATTACTCACTGCTCGCCCTTTTCTCAGCACACAAAATAATTTATGCAGCGCAAAAAATAAAATATCCAACAAAGTGTAAAACCTGTGTATCATTCGTTTTACAATTTAAAATCCTCAATTTTCCGTCACGCTTTGTCCCTGCTGGGGTCGCGGGTATACGCTGGACAGGTTGCCAGTCCATCGCATGGCAACACATAAACAAACAGGACAAACCACCATTTAAACACACACTCACACCTAAGGAGAATTCCCTAGGTGTCCCTAGAGAGAAGCCAATTAACTTAACAGTCATGTTTTTTGACTGTGGGAGGAAGCTGGAGTACCCAGAGAGAACCCACACATGCTCAGGGAGAACATGCAGACTCCATGCAGAAAGACCCCGGGCCAGAAATAAAATCCAGAACCTTCTTGCTGCAAAGCAGCAGTGCTACATACTGCGCTACTAAATAACTGGAGAAATAACTGGGTCTATGTACACTCAGGCAATTACTTGAATGTTCAAAATCGTCCTCTCCAGCTATCATAATATGGAGGAACGGAGAACAATTTTTCCTCGACATATGACATTAAATGTAACAATATTAAAAAAGTGAGCGGGGAATACTTTATTTTATTTTGTTTGGGCTCTTATAGCACCTCAGCTTGCTGGATGTACTAAAGGTGTTTAGACAAAATCTGTAACCCGTCAGATATTGTGACTCAAGCACCTGCTGTGATGCGTTCTGCTCACCAGTTTGCTATCTACCAACCCGAACTTTGCAGGATTCATACCCAAAACCAATATCACAAAATTAATACCTGAACCTAAAGAGGTCTATTAGAAATACATGTAAGCTCCCCCTTCGGTCACAGTATATGACAGATTAAAATATCAGTTTTATAACAAAAAAATAACAACATTTGGATGAATATGTTTAATAATGCGTCAATGTCCTTTAAAAAAGTCTAGCAAAAGCCAAAATTCAAAGCATCAAAAAAAAGTTAGATTCACGAATAAACAATGCAACAGGAAGAAGAATATTTTGCGGCCCAAATTATTTACAAATCCAGGCTTCCAGAACAATGAAACTGACCAGTTTCTGACAGCCATGCTATGTAAAATGCAAAGAGTTTAAGATGCACCTGTTCACCTCGAAGCTCAATGATCCGTCTGACTTTTATTTTTTATTATTGCTAAATTCAAGTAAGGGAAACAAAATCTTTAACGGGTCCATCAGCACATCCACAGATGTGGTGGCTGCAGGAGCTAAAGAAGATCTAGCAGCTTCTGGATGTTAATGTTGCATTTCAAGCATCCAGTGGTGATTGTCAAAGATTTAGTTTAAGGAATCAGATCTGATCCAGAAAGCTCTGAAAGCGGGATATTTGGAAAAGCATAGCAGAAGTCAAAAAGACAGACGGGAAAATTTGTCATTTTCATTTATGGACTTTTATTGTGAAATTATTTAACTGTTATCTATCTTGTATTGATAGAAAGACTGAAAAAAAAAACGTGTTAAATGAACAGTTAAAAGGAGCAAAAATGAGTTACACTTGTGGTTCAGTTGTTAAGAAAAAAAAAACACATGATAGAGTGGCCTCTGCATTGAAGACGATGCGCTTATTGTACCCTTGTTTCCGCCCAAACCCCTCCATAGTCTGTGCATGCCTCTAGTCCCTAGTGACACTGATGGAGTCCTAGATGTGGGCCGTAGCTATCCTCTCTAAGTCCCACCAGCTGAGGTTTATATAGATGATTTAAAGACAAAGATTTTATTTTAAAGGTCCACCTTTGCTATCCGGCAAGTAAATTAACATATTAGTAAAATATTTAGGTCAAAACTAAGTTTTTATGGAGGACCAACTCTGCCATATTTAAAAATAAATACAGAAATAAATAAAGGCTCAATAAATATATAAGCATACAATTAATTGCCAACTAGATACAGTATTTAAATCCACACTTATTTGCTAAATAAGTATTGACTTGGTAAAAACAAATATTTACCCTGGATTGAAAAATTTAGATTGGAACTAAATATTACATTCAAAGCTGAATATTTAGTTAATAACATTAACATTAAAGTTAAAAGTGTTGTTTGTAAATTTAATATTTAACTAAGTAATGAAATGGTAGGCTCGGAAATGTGATATTTATAAATGTATGAATGATAGGTGGATTTTATGAACTCATTTTATCCCCTCTCATTTGAGGCTAAATAACTCAAAGCATTGCAGCGAATATTTGACTCTGTAGCTTTACATTTGGTAATCCATAGTGGGCTGCTTCTCTCATGCACAGCGCTAAACAAAAATAAGCGCTTTGTGCTGTTTATATGCAATAAGTCATGGTCAACCAATAACATTTTTCAATCATAGGAGCCTTTATATTCAGCTAAATGTCTTTTATTTATTTCATTTGATTATTAAATGTAATGTATTGAGACAGAAATGAGTGAAAATGGACATAATCTTCATTTCTGTTATCAATGCCACAACAACTGAGGTCATATTAAAGCCGTACCTCTGACAGGTGTGCAGAGCCTCCTTCATCGATGTCATGGCAACGTCCATGTCCTTGGGGTCAAAGGTCATAGCAGCCTGCATCAGTAAGATACTGCTGTAGCCCATAGCATGATACATGCTTTGACTCTTCCTAAGAAACCACAGTAAAAGGTTGGAAAGTAACAGTCAATGTTTGAAAAAGAAGTTTATTCAAAATAGTCTGTAAATTGGTTGGTTTGCAATTGTGTGCCTTTTTTGTATATTTTTTTCCCATTGCTGTCATAAAGAAAATCCCTTGTTTTTTTCTGTCAATATTCATCAAAGCTGAGGAAACATCACATGATTATAAATACAATACAGAACTTTCGTGCTTTTGTGGTTAAATACATTTTTTAGAGTCCATGTTTATGTAGAGCTGGTTCCACTAGAACAGTTGTAGAAACATTAAGAGCTGCTCTCTCTGAACTGTAGATGAACTCTGACTAAAGAGACAATTACCCCGAATGTGATGAGCTTTTACAGTGTTTCTTTGCCTGCAGCTGATGAACAGCAAAGACTGAGAAAATATGGCCTTTCAAAAATGTTGCTGCTGAAATGTCTCTTTCATAAGAATTATGAAGGCTTGGACTTTATCTCAACAAATAAGGCTTTCTGAAACTGGGAACTGATGATCTGTAGAACAAATGAATCACTTTCCTAAAAAGAATTGGTTTTATATGACTTCAGATTAATTTTAGATATTTCTCCAAATGACTATTCATTCTCCCGAAACTCAAAACAAAGGATTTGTCTAAAACACATTAGTCATTCACAGAGGTGAGTAGAATATCCACATATTATATTCAAGTAAAAGAAACAATACTTCATTGTATTTTTATTCTAGTAAAAGTAAAAATGAGCCATCCTAAATATCCTAATCGAATTACTACAAATGATCATAGCAGCAGACAAAATTTAAAGTTATATGCAGTTTCTGGTGTTTCAACGAATGAGATGAAAAATAAAGATATGAGATACAGTAATTACACAAAAACACATTTAAGTGGAATATAAACTCATCAAAAGTTATGAAAAACAAATATGGTTCATGTTTGATTAAAATGGAATTTACTAAAGTTACTCACAATGAGTAGATTAAATGAGAAATTGTACTGTTGTAATAGTAGTGTTATTTTTTTCAAATTTTTACTCAATTAAAAGTAGAAAGTGCAAAGCTATAAATTTACTCCTGAAACTACTAGAAAGTTACTCAAGTAAATGTAACAGAATAGATGCAGCTAGTTCCTACTCAGCTGGTAACTTTTTTTTTAAATGTTGCAGATCCCATCAGGTCTCTCTGAACGTCGGCGACTTACCGAGGTTCTAATGAAGCCAAAGCATCGGCGAACCTGTTGTTCAGAAACAGATGGAGGGCGAGGTTACATTCCTCCAGTGCCGTCTCCAAGTCCAGTGCAGGTGGGCTGAATGGGAGAACGAGAAACTGAAATCAGCAACTTCAACCAAACATGCAAAGACTTAGAATTTGTTGCACAAAGTGTAACACTGTCTGTGCTTCAGTTGATTTCTTTCCATTTGAACTGACATATTTCAGACATTCCTCTATTTTTATGAGATTCTTGATCCAGTGATCAGTGATCAGGCTGCTCTTTTACTTTTGGTTCAATTTAATTCAATTCAGTTTATTCATACAGAGCCAATTCATAACACATCTCATCTCAAGGCACTTTATAGAGATCAGATCATACACTGTTGTAGGAAAGTTTCTCTTCTATTATATATTGATATATCCTATTTACTCACTATAAAAGTTTTGACTCAGTCTGTTTCACTTTCAAGGCCACACCATTCTCTGTGTGATGGTGTTTGTAGACCAGACATAGCTTCTCCCCATAATAAAACAAATTCTTTCAAGGCCACACCATTCTCTGTGTGATGGTGTTTGTAGACCAGACATAGCTTCTCCCCATAATAAAACAAATTCTTTCTCAAGGTTTATTCATAACATGTTACTGTTTAACCAAAGTGTCTGTAATTTGATGTGACTCTGACTATTTTTCCATTGTTGTAAGTAAGGGGGAACGAATGCTGCTCATGCAGAACAGGGCAGAATGCTGCCATAAGGATGATAATGAACTGTTCTCTCTTTGCAAAGATATGAATAAATGTGCCAACTGAGTGAAATCCATCGATCTCCGTTTATTTAACTAGGGTGAATAGTTAAATATTTTTTTCCCACTACATACAGTCAGATTGTTTTTATGTCTAAGTAAAACCAGCTTAATGCATGGAGTCCTTGACTAAGCAGCAATCCCTCACACCAAGCATGCATGCAGCGACGGGGGAGAGGAAAACTCCCTTTTAACAGGAAGGAATAGCCAGTGGAACCAGGCTCAGTGTGAGCGGCCATCTGCCAGCTGACAGCATTTTCTGTTAAGCATTTTGTGACAAAAACCCAATTTATTGACTTCAGACTTGGGAGATTACAGCTGCAGTAAAGCAATTCTAAAGAGCCATTAGCTCTCTGATATCTAGACATTGAATATAGTGTCTAAAATTAAACAGAAATTACTGAATAAGCTGTTGACATAAATGAAAACTCAAAGATCCATTAGAAAGCCTGAAAAGAAGAGTAATCTAGGATGCTTTAGACACAAAATACAAAGAATATTAAAAAAGATTTTACTCCATCTGCATATCTCGACGGAATGACGCTCTAATAAAATTTTATACTATTGAGATTGTCAAGCTTTAAATGCACTTACGTCTCATCCTCGTAAATCTGGTTCCAGTCCACCTTAAAACCCACACAAACACACAGATTTAAGAGATTTAGTCAAACCGATCAAAGCATGGCATTTAGATGAAGAAGGATTTTTCTGTTGATGATTAAGTCCCAGGGAAGGAGAGATAGTTCCCACACAGAATGTACCCACCTCTGCATTTTTAGAAGTTTCTATGTGATATGATCCAAAATTACAAACAGCCTTTTGTCAAGCTGAGGGCATTGTTAAACCTGCAGCACCAGGGATAGGAAGCTGCACATAAAGCTCTTCTCTTTTTTCATTCATCCTCTAAACCTCTTTAGCAAACACTAAATTGGTTGATTTGATTATGTTATCTTATGGTTTTCCTGATCTTTCTTATTAGAATTAAACAGACAATCCCTCTATGGTGCTGTGAGCTAAATCTGCATCTTTGCTGCAAGGGAATAATAAAAAATGTAAAAATTATTCCTCATCTTGCTTTTGGCAATGTCTTTAGGGTATGATCTGGACCAAAGTGCAGACAGGGTCATAGGAGCAGCATTTTAATTATAAGAAAGGGCAAAAACTTACAAACCGGCATGAGGAGAAGTGTTTGAAAAAATAATCAGGCAGTAACAGACAAGGAAAGGCGTACGATAACAGGAGGATCCAGTGGAGAACAATGGCCAACAATGAACTTAAATACAGAGGGATAAGTGGAGGATAACATTGGAAGCTGGTCAATTTTTAATATATATTTTAAGATATATGGCAACACCTTAAAGACAATAATTAATACAGAAAAAGAAATGGGAAACAGCATGACCTTATACAACACCATGGAGATGACAAGCATATAAACACACATTAAAACCAAAAGCCGGCTTTCAAGGATCATAAAAGTAATGAGATTTTTATATCGATAAAAATATCCATAACTTATATAATCCAGCTGCACCAAAACATTATTAACAAAAATGTAATCAGATATACTGTATATAGATTGCTAATTTAGCTTACAATGTAAAAAAAGGAAGTAAGGAAACTCACCTCCTTGAATTCATCCTTTGTCATCTCCATTTATTAAACCAGAGATTGATGTCCTCCCCTGCCAAAAACTCTGCTGAGAAAGACAAACAAGTTTGCCTCCCGCTTCTTATCATGATCTAAGAGGCCGGGAGTGGCCTCCATTTAACAAGGTCAGCCCCCACCAACACTTTGTGTAGAGGGAAGGCTGAGAGCTGCTGGCTTTACTCTGTATGTGCCGTGCTCTCTTTAAAAAAAAAAAAATCTTCAAGAGTAGTGACATGTTACTGGAACATCAAAAGCCCACTGAAACAGGGTGTTTTAAGGGTCCACTAACTGGATTTTCACCAACTAAGGTGCGAAATGAGGAGCCAGCATTGACATCTATTAACAGTTTTATTTCAACGTGATTAGAAAAGAAAAAAAAGCTTGCCTAAAATTATTAATTAAGAAGAAAAAGAAGAAAGAAAATTCCTTTATTGTCACACAATGGGGAAATTCCGGTGTTTACAGCAGCAAAAAGATTATAGAAAAAAAATGTATAAGAATAACATACTGTAATAGTGAAGAGTAACAAATAAATAATAAAATACTGCACTGTTTTAACAATATATATAATGTGCACCTGGAGAATAAATAACCAATATACGGCTATGGAAATTTGTACAGCAAAAAACAGCATATTATATATATAAATGGCGGATTTGTGGGCTTCAACTGCTTCTTGCAGGGCCTGATGCCAGGACCCCACCTAGGGAATTGCTGTGTTTCGGTCAGGAGTAACGTTTAGGACTAAGGAATTAATTTAGTTTAGGTTAGGGTTAGGCTGTAGAAATGAATGTAAGTCAGTAAAAAGGCCCCACAAAGACAGTGAGACAAGTTTTGGTGCCTGTGTAGAGACGGACGGACAGACAGATAGAAATTGAATATAGTTCACACTTAAGGGTCGATCTCTGTGTCAGAATGAAGGTTCTGTTTTCAATCAATGTTGCTGCAAAGCTTCCTTCATTTAAGATTATCTGACAGTTCGCAGACAACTTCTATGGTTTCTTGATATATTTTGTAAAAGCTTTCACATTTTTTTAAATGGCTTGATTTTTGGTCTGATCGTCTTGACCAAACTATTTTAAATTGGTCAGGTTAGAAGGCTGATTTCTCTACAGGGTTGGGATCATTACTTTGTGATGGAAACTCCAAAACCTCCACTTTGTTCTCCTTGGGTCCTTTGTAACTAATTTAGCAGGAGACTCTCTGTCTTGTGATGATATTTCCACATAATGTCCTTTCCCTCATGTTTCCACCCTGGCTTCATCCGGAGCACAGTGATAACTTATAAAATGGAAGAAACTAGAAAACAATCACTCATTTTTCTGTCATAAAATCAGATAATAGGAAAGGTCAGGTGTTTTTTTTTCCTGTCTGGTTTTAACTACAAGTACACCGAAAAAAAATAATTATATCATGGAAAGTTTCAGCATTTATTGCCCTCATGTTAAACTTACTGAAATATAATATTAATCCCATAGAGAGTGAGATATCTGAATAAACAAGAAATCATTGCCTCAGAAAATGCTAATTCTACAAAAAACTGGGTCAGAACATGTCGAGTGACAGAAAAAGGTGGACCAGCAACAGACATAACAGCAGCCTTAAGAGGATTGCCAAGCAATATCCAGTCAGGAATTTGGAGAGTTTCACAATGAGCGGACTGAGGCCTGAATCAGAGCACCAGAGTCTGTCACACAGAGAGAGGAACCACTGCACAGGTGTTTTAGCAGGAACCAGAACCAGATCTTCTCTCAGAGGTCCAACATCCTCTCCAGATCAAAGTAAAGTTTGCATTTGGCTCGGAAATCAAGATCCCAGGTTCTAAAGGGAGAAATCAATGAAGCTTGAAATCCAGTTAGAATTTCCAGTCAGTGACATGTCAGCTGCTGGTTCTGGCATCCTGGGTTTTCTGGAGTGCAAAGAAGCCATATACCAGGACTTACATAGATGACCTCTTTCTCTCTCCTTCTTCAAAGCTTTGTGGAGACGCTGATTTCATTTTTCTGCTGGACTTGGTACCAGCCCACAGATTCCTAAACTGCCAGAAGTACCAACAGCTTGTTCAGAAACCGTGGTGTTACTGTGTTTGTTTGGCCAGCTGACCAGAAGGAGCAGAACCCCGATAGAGAATCAAGAATCTTTGTCATTATGAAAATATGGTGACATTTACTGGAAACTGTGTGTTTATCCATCCATCCATCCATTTTCTAGCACGCTTATCCCGAGCTGGGTTCGCGAGGGGTGCTGGTGCCCATCTCCAGCAGTCAATGGGCGAGAGGCGGGGTACACCCTGGACAGGTCGCCAGTCCATCGCAGGGCATTGTGTGTTTAGAGTGGACAAAAAATACAAAGACAGCAATTAAAATCCCCTACAGAGTTAAACTGGGAGAAAAACTCTTATAAAGCCATATTAGGAAAAAAAAAAAAAACTTCTTCCGTCTGCGGGAAGTATGAGGTGCCTCCAAATGATCCACTACAAGGCTACTGGCCTTTCATATGGCAGGCTAGACCTTCCCAAGAGTTAAAGAACAGCAGCTGATGTCATTTATGCTTTTTCAGACGTATTAAAATCGTTTCAGTGATTTTAGCATGACCATTTAACACTATAAAAAAATGCTACATTGTGGGGCCCATTTCCAGGAAAAATAGCAGACTGGCCATTGCCATGGCCTAATGCCAGGACCCTACAGGGGGAATTGTTGTGTGTGGGTCAGGGGTCACGTTCAGGACTAAGGAATGAATGGAGTTTAGGTTAGGGTCCAGAAACCGTGGTGTTACTGTCAAGAACCGAGGGACCCAGTATTCAAGGAGATGGACAGACAGGGACAGGATCCAGATCAGGCAGGAACAGAAACAGGTTGCAGGATCCAGACTTCCAGGCATCCACAGGCTCCCAGGGGGGTTCAGAGTCTGACAGGGTCCGAAAGCATGACCAGGTGGTCACGCACAGGATCAGACATGATCAGGTGCAGCTGAGCAGGCTCAGTGGAAGAGGGTAGCCGAGACAGGACGTGGAACCAGAACTTGATGCAGGACTTTAAACTGTGCTCCTCCCTGGAGCCAGGCTTACTGAGATAAAAACTGAACCTCCCCACATATTGAGCCAAAAACCCAGAGGACTCCACGGGGGAGGAACAGTGGACGATCAGGAGACGAGACAAACACTAAAACCCTCTTTCCACTGGCTGCTAGGATCCAGGACATGAACCATGAAATAAAACTAACAGACAGGCTAACAGAAAGACAAGTAATGATCTGGCACTGAATGCTCAGGCTGAACTGAATATTACCAAGAGGAAACAGGTGAGAGGAATAAATTATAATTGAGGCAGGGAGGGAAAACGACAGGTTTAAGGAATGACTAATTAAGGGAGAGCAAACTGGCCAGATCATGACAGTTACTGTGTTTGTTTGGCCACCCGACCAGTAGGAGCAGAACCCTGATAAAGAATCTTTATTGTCATTATGAAAATATGGTGACATTTAATGGAAACTGAGTGTTTAGAGTGCACAAAAAATACAAAGACAGCACGAAAAATCCCTTACAAAGGAATATAAACATCTTTAGATGACAAAATGGAATACCCTTAGAAGATAAACACAAAATATAAACAATATTAGAGTTAAGTTAGAAGAAAAACTCTTATAAAGCCCTATTACGAGAAAAAAAAAAAAAAAAAATTCCTCCGTCTGCGGGATATATGAGGTGCCTCCAAATTATCCACAATAAGACTACTGGCCTTTTACATGGCAGGCTAGACCCTTCCAAGAGTTAAGCAACCGCAGCTGATGCCATTTATGCTTTTTCAGACATTTTAAAATAGTTTTAGTGATTTTAGCATGGCCATTTAACACTTTAAAAGAAAAAAAGTGTATATAGAAAAGCAGTATGAAACATCTCCATGAAGTGCAGCTGGTGCTGCAATCTATGGAGGACTGTGGAGAATTAGAAGGTTAAATCAGCATGAAGACATCCATCAGCAAGCAACCTGGGTTCCTAGAGTGCCTCACAAGAACTTCTGGTTGATCACATCCATGTCACGCATTGATGATGCAGGATTTTATGCAAAAGGAGTGCAGACCAAGTATTAAGAGCAAAGAAATGAACAATTTTCAGCAATATTACTGTTAAAAACATGCTTCATTAATTGCTTTTATGTGATATTTTCATTTTTCTATGGCACTGAACTCTTGGCTTATATTGCTAGAATCATCCTGTGCATTATCAAATATTTTATTGTCTTTCTTGTCTGATAAGTCAATTCTTCTTTTGTCAGTGCAATTTTGGGTCCGCTTTGTATAATTATACCGTATATATATATTTTCTGTATGAATAGCTAGAATTCCAAACAAGAAACAAATCAAACGTGTTACTTTTGATAATATAGTGAAATGAGAAGCCATAATTAAAAATAAAGGTTAATTTAACTGAGCAGACAGACAATGAGAAAAATGCTTCAGCCCAAGAAACCCCCCAGAGCTATTAGTGAAGTTTCTAAACTGTAACACAAAGTCTGAGCTTCTTAGAGTCCGCCATTATCCCTGACCATCTGCCTGCATGTGATGCAGCATCAGCCTAAACAATTTTTTCCAGTGGTTTTGTGATTCATCTTACTGCAACATATCTTTACTTTTGTAAGACTCCCTGACGATACCCACTGCAGTTTTCTGGTCAAAGAAAGCAGAAAGCTAATGACCTTTTATTTAAAGGTCTTCCTGCCGGTACATCACTCTGTTCACGTGGATGTAACACCAGTCAGGAGTCTGAGCAGAGGCCTTGTCTGTGGTGATCTTCTCATCATCAGTGGGTTCTGCTTACAAAAGTAATTAAAGTTCTCAGTTTAATGGTCCTGAATATGCAATTTATCCATTTATTCATAAGCAGATCTGCCAAAACTACTTTATTTCTCAGATTTAAATCAAAGAAAATAAAAAAGGCAGTTTTTTAGATGGTGATTTCCACCATCCATATGTGAAGATGCAGAATCCCTCAAATTTATAAATGGATGTGCCAATTTTAGCAATGAATAATATTTAAAAAAATTCAGGAGTTTGGCAACGAGTGTTTTTTTAGCCTGGCAGCCATCTTAAGGCTGGTATAAAGGAATTTAACAACGTGTCTACAGGTTTGTTTTAAAAGAGTTATTTTCTTTAGACAGTTCAAGTCTGACTCTTTATAACATTATTCTACTGTCTGTTTAATGTCACTTCTTTTAACATTTCACTATGTGAACATAGGGAGGGAACAGTGGCGAGGGGGATTCTGCCAGACTGTGGAAAACAAATTAGAGATGCTAGATGGAAGTTCATACACCATAAAATAATGCACAGATGTTATCATACGGCGGTGAGAATGTATGACACCAGCTGATGAAGGATAAAAAAATGCTGGAAATATAAATTGGAAGTAGATTGGTCAAACCCCTCTGGGTTTAGGTATTGGGTTTGTTGAGTTCATCTTATGAATCCATGCTGCTTAGACTAGAAGACAATGAGCAAGATTAACAGGAGAGGGAAACTGATGGGGAAAATTTCCCAAAAAGTAAAAAAAAAAAAGGAACTGGACTTTGTTTCCAAGTTTGAAGACGTTTCGCTTCCCATCCAGGGAGCTTTATTAATTCAAAATGTCATAATTAGTGTTGGGTATGGGGAAAGGTTTGGAGTAATTGGGCAGGAGACTTCCCAGACATTTCAGGCTGTGAACCCAAAAATAACAATGCAGCAGACTCTAAACCCTAAAAATACATATGATTACTTCACACTGTACTTATTTTGTTCTTTTTTTCATATCAAATAAAGTAATTGTATCAAGTTTCTAAATTACCAAAAAAATAAAAGTATTTTATAAGTAACATTTCATTACTTAATACACATTTTGAATGTATTTTTATTTTTATGGGGCATTTAAATATTTTTAATTGCATATTTTAGCCTATGACTTGATTGAAGTCATAATTCTGAGAATAAAGTCAGAAATCTTAGAAAAAATGAATAATTCTGAGATTAAAGTCAGAATTCTGGAAAAAAAAAATCTGAATTCTGACTTTTTCCCCCATATTAAACTGAAAAAATATTTAAAAATCAGTTAACTTTTTTTTTTTTGTTTTTTTCAGTGGCCTAAATCCTCCTCCGTTCATATGAAATTGAAAGAAAGGATACAAGATTTATTCATTTAATAAACGTCCGATCCACACTCCACACCAGTAGATGGGGGTAATGCACCTCAATAAGTTGCTTGCTAACCGCCATAAAGAAGAAGAAGAAGTTGTTGTTGTCCCTCTAAACATGGCGGAGTCCGAACCAGCGGCAGAGGCGAGCAGCAGCAGCATCCCGGATTATGAATATGTGAACGTGAACACCACAGCCTTCCACATCGGCTCCTTCAGGGAGGAGTGGCTGAAAAGGCTGAAACCTGAGCAAATCTCCTTCCAGCAGAAAGATCAGGACACGTTTGAAGCTAACTTTGCTGCTGAGATGGGTTTAGAAGAGGAAACGATGGCTGAACTCCGATCCGTCTGCAGGTTGAACAGCAAAGCAGCTATATACACATTTTATCACATAAACCTCACATCTCACTCTTTTAGGGCAATAACAGCCAATAAAAGCGATACTACTGAATTATTGTCATTTTGTTATACCGCATATAATCACAGGGAGAGTGGTTTAAGACACGCTGACCAGACGTCCCCAAATTCCAGGGACAGTCCCCGTTTTGGACCCCCTGTCCCCGGCTAAAGCTGTCCCTGGAAATGTCCCTGATTTGACCGTTTTATGAATGATCAATGATTAGATTGGCTAAAAGTTAAATATACTTTAAACTTTAAAACATTTACATCCAATCAAAAACAATAACAGCTTATTTAAAACAAAAAGCACAGCTGTATCTATAGAAAATATATTCCTGTTAGGTTTCACTATAACTTTATTAAAGGACAGATTATTTTTATGCCCTGAGAGCTTATTTTTCATTCATCTATACCTGTGATGACAAAACATGTATTTCTGGTGTGGCTGCTTCAAGCTGCTCATCAGAGTGATCCAGATTTATAGATGTGTTTTAATGGTTTTAATTTAATCTGAATATAAAAATCTAACTTAAGTTTTTTTAATAGTGACACAGATTTTAATCCAGGCTGCTGGAGGCGACCCAATGCTCTGCAGCTGTCCAGGATACAGTAGAAACAACTGGAGCCGCTTTCATTTTATAGTAATCAATATAAAAAATAGATTTATATGTATGTTTTTCAAATTATATATATATATATATATATATATATATATATATATATATATATATAAGTTTCATTTTAGTTTTTGGAATGCAAAAAGAGTTTCCAATTTCCCATAAAATCTGTATTGATGCCAACTGGCCTGTCCCTAAAAACAATGTTATGTTGCTCACAGGGAAGAAGACAATGAAGACTGAATGACCAGATGGCACTGATAAACACTATTGATTTATTAATATTATTTATCTTAATGGAAAAGGCACATTGCTGGATTTCACACTTGATTTTTTTTTTATATTAATAAATATTTAAATATGGATAAAGGCGTCACTGTTCCCCTTTCCTAATTTAATTTTCATGAAATGCATTTATTTTTATCTATGAGCTGGAAATGTCTCCAGATTAGATTGCAGAAATCTGGTCACCTTAGTTTAAGAGTCTCTGACAAGGAAAGCTGCTGCCTGGATGTTCAGAGCGTCTCAGCAGGTTAGGGACACAAATGAGCACTAAAGGAGCACAAATGTTGATACAAGTGAAGTCAATTTTACATTTCATTTGAGATGTTCCCGCTCTGTCCTTAAATCTATGGAGGCGAGAATGGAGATCAACTGAAGGTTGAAAGCTTCATTACCATCTCAGCAGGACCTGATGGCCTCCTTTCCACACAGTGATGACGTCATTCAAGCAGAAAAAGCCCAGAACTGATGCTGTTTATCAATAGACATGATCTTTTGTTTAAAAAGAAAAACATTTCATTATGAGCTTTTTAAAATACATTTCACCCTTCCTCAATAACAGGATTATTTTATTTATTAGCTGTAAGCCATACAGTACAGAGCATTAACCCTTTATAGGGCAACTTACTGTTTTAATCACTTGCATAGATCTAGAAGCACAACATCTATATCCAGCCATTCAGCAAAGATGTTGCTACATGGCTGCACGTCTTATTTTGCTATTTGACCAATTATATGAGCCCTTGAATGATATATTACCTACTGGAAATTAAGTAGTGTTGCACTGATGCCATTTTTTGGCCCCGATACCTGGCTGTGCAGTATTGGCCGATACAGATACTATCTGTTTGAAATTGATGTGTGTGTATATATGAAGAACTGTATACTACCTGGATGTAAAATAATTGCCATCATGGCTTTGTCAAGCTGCTGCCTACCTTTGTGAAGCAGGAAAAAGAATAATACAAAGTGAATCCAGTAGAACTTTATTGCCTACCTGGAATGGGTGACAATAGTTGAATAAACCTTTGGCTCTAAAAATGGTATTGGTGACCTATTTGTTGGTACTCGCCGATACCAATACCACCATTTTAGTGCTGGATCGGGGCCCCAACCGATACTGGTATAAGTATCAGCGCAACACTAGTTCCAATCTGGCCTGTGATCCTTTGCCTCATGTCTCTCCCCCTCTCTCATACCCCTAAAAAAAAGAGCCACTAGTGCTGTAACCCCGCCCACCACAACAATACAATATAAAAGGAGCTTTTTTAATTTTTAAGACTACTCCTTTTGAGAGATATTTGTGTCATTTCATTATGGCAGGAAACATCTTAGTTGAATAAAGATGTAATTCCAGCTCTTTGAGGAGGATGAATCATTTTGGCTTCGACTTTTAATCCTGTTGATGGGATTTCTTTTTAGCAGATCTTACAGCTGTTAACCTTTTATAATTATGCCACAGACTTATTTATTCATATGTACTTTATAATGATGTTTAGTTTTACTTTATATTTCCTACCTGGAATGAGTGACAATAGTTAAATAAACTTTTGGCTCTCAAAATGGTATAAGTGCTCTATTTGTTGGTACTCACCGATACCAATATCACCATTTTAGTGCCCTGCCCGATACTGGTATCAGTGCAACACTAAAATTAAGTAAAAAAAAAAGTTAAAAAATGAAGAAAAAAGAAGTAAAAACTAATTGAAAAATTAAAAAGTTAATAAGCGTATTTTACAATTATATTTAGTTATATAAAGTAAAAAAATGTAAGTGCCAGTATCAGCATTAATGACTCTAAGGTTATGTTGGACCAAAAAAAATGTGTTTCTGTCCCTCTAAGAGTGTTTTTCATGAATTTCTTATCGAAGCACTTTTGTTATTTTTCTTAAGATATTCCTGCAAGTTGGCGTTTCTTGTTATTACATGACATAAATTTTTTCCATCATTTTTTGAATGTTACAAAAACAATAAGGTTTTGTTCTGGATTCCAATACCAGTATTGGATTGAAACTGGCTTGAAACTGCTTTAGAGACAGTTTTTACCCGACAGCAATAACAAAACTAAATGCAACCACAAATAACCATTAATCATCATGGATGAAGTGTGTGAGAATGTACTATTCTTATTATTGTTTTGTATCAGTTATTGTTATTTATTTATTATATAACGTGTAAATGGTGGTGACAGTGATTTTTGTTTTTTAAGCATATGCACTGGTCGATCGATGGCACTTTTTAAAATTTCGTTGTTCTTGTGACAAGGACAATAAAGCTAAATTGAATTGAATTGAAAATCTCACTGAGTTCCCTATAAAGGGTCAAAATGTCAGTCTACATGTTGCCAGTTTGAATTCAGCCAGCTTACTTTTATGCGTCGGTGGACTGATGGTTTCACTAGGATCCTTTTTATTCTTTAATTAGTTGGTTAATTGCCAAATCTCAGTGTTTTTCTTCTTCTGGTTGAAGCGTGGACTCGCTTCGTTGCTACTCTGAAGATCAGCAGCCCGACCCAGAAGTCTTACCTTCAGAACCGACCCTGAAAACTCTCATGTAAGTCCTCCTCTGATACCACACCAGTAAGTGGGTCTGGGGTTCTCCGGTGGGATAATTCTGTTTGTTTGATTACAGATACAGAAAAAAGAAGCAAAGACGCTCATCATCTTATAGAGGAGGCCAAAACAGACATGAGCTCTACGCCGGTGAACTGGTGGGTGAATCCTGACCTTCGTCTCAGTGGGTCTTTCTGTCAGCGCTACAAAAATGTACCGATGTCTTTAAGGAATTTTCTTCATTTGACCTTCAGTTTCACCTGACAAAAACAGAGAATTGCTTTTTTCTGCTCTTCACTTTTTCACGTTCTTCAGCTTTTTCATTTTTTATTTTCTGTGCCAAAAATCCACTGTGATTCTATGTTCTGGGGACAAAAATAAAGATGAACTGATACGGTTTTATTAGGGCCTAATTAATCCCAAATACTGGCTGCTATTTTTTTTGCTGATATTTTTTGGGCCCGATTCCTCAAACTGATGTAGATTTTTCTTCCTCTATGTAGATGATAGAAGTGACTCCATTAAAACAGACATTAAACCGCTCTTAGTTTAAACAAAAAGAAACATTTATTAACAAATCAAAGACATGTTAACAATGGATGGGAAATGGGAGGAGCAGCAATGGATACTAGGAAAAAAACACAAATATTGGTCAGAAAATTCAATGTATCGGTCTGTAGAGAAGAACTGGAGGGAAAAGGAGTGAAAGGATTAACTGAAGAGGCATCTTCACTGGAAGAAATCGAAATCTAGATAAGTCATTTTTAAAATAAGTGCATTTGTTCTTGGTTTAAGGCAAGGCAAGGCAAATTTATTTGTATAGCACAATTAAGTACAAAGACAATGCAAAGTGCTTTACATGATTAAAATATAGGAATATAAAACAGAAACAAAGCAAGTAGGAAAAAATAATGCAGAAACAAAAAAGAACATTAAAAACAGTTGGACTAAAGAAAATAAAAAAGTTGAACTAATGATGTTTTAGTTGAACTGTTTAACTAGAACAGTCGAAGGCAATCCTAAACAAATGTGTTTTTAGTCTTGATTTAAAGGAACTCAGGCTTTCCGCACTTTTACAGTTTTCTGGAAGTTTGTTCCTACGGAGTCCCTAAAGGGACATGGAGGAAAAAATAAACTTTGCGAGATCTCGCAAA